CAAAATGCTGTTGAAACAACCGAATATACATGAAAAAAAAAACAAACAAAAGTAAAAACAAAAAACCTGTATCTCTACCTCTCATCATAAAGAAATTAAATCCAAATGCATCATCTATTCATAGCTAAATGTAAAAAAACAAAAGTATAAAACCCCTAAATGAAATCACGAAAGAAGTGTTTGTTGGGGCTGATGTAGAGGATGGGCTTCTTATGCAGGACACAGAAAGGAACCTTAAGGAAATGAATTTTTCTCATCAAAAACACCATTTAGAACATGAATCGGTAAGCCACAGATAGGGAAATGTATTGCCAAACGTAGGTTAAAAAACTTCTATCCAGAATATAGAAAGAACTCCTACAATTCAATAATATGAAGAAAAACAACCCTGTCAAAAACGAGACAAAGGATCTGAACAGACATTTCACAAAGGATGACATATAAATGCCCCAGAATCCCATAAGAGGGCCTCCAATTCATTAATGAACAAATTAAAACCGTAATGAGATAATACCCACAAAGCAAAATAGCTTAATTTAAAAGAATGACACCACCAATTATTGGCGAGATTGTCCGAGGCATCCCGCGCCTACTCTCTGCATACTGTCACATGTCTTCTCGCTCTTGTTCTTCTGGGGTGAAAATACATTATTCATTTTACTGTTTCCTAAACACCTACCTTCTATTCTAGTGTCTGTAAGAGCAATAAATGTAAAGGCGGGTTTACTAGATTAAGTGAGGAAATGCGGACTCATCCATGAGAGACTCTTGACTCTGGGAAACAGACTAAGGGTTTCTGGAAGGGAGGTGGGTGGGGGGATCGGGTAACTGGGGGATGGGCATCAAGGAGGAAACGTGATGTGAAGAGCACTGGGTGTTGTATGTAACTAATGAAAAACTGAACACTGCATCAAAAACTAATGATGTATGACTAATATGTTGGCTAAATGAATTTAAACAAGAAAAAATTGAAAGGAAAATACCATACTAAGCTTGTCGCCAGATTGAGCCACCTTAGTTTATATTTTTCTGTCTTGAGACCGATAGATATGATTATGACTATATTTGGAAGGAAAACAATTCACCGATTTTATTTTATTTTATTATTTCATTTCATTTTTGTGGGAAACAGCATTATAGATTTGGGCTAAGCCATGACAAGGTGATAGAGGCAGTTTAGAGGTCAAGAAAAAAAGAATTCCACTAAATTAGTGATGTGGAAATTCAAACTAGAATTGTAATTTTAAAAAGCAGCCAGTGTTAAGGCCTCGGATACATGTGCAGACCTGTCCTTTAGCTGCCTCTTTCACCCCCTGCACTTACCTGCCCTGCCTTCCCGCCCTGGGGTCTCCTCAGCGCAGGTGATTCGTCTGCACCCGGCAGTTCTAAGTCTTTTCATGAATTCTGACAAATGTGGCAGAAAGAAAAAATGCAGTTAATTAAATTTCATCACGTTGGCTACCGGGCCGCCTTTCGGCATAGGAGGAAACTGATCAAATAAGCCCTTGACAGGGACCTGGGGTGCTGTGCTTCCCAGGGGGTGTGTTAAGGTGGCTCAGCGGCGATCTCTAATTTGCCCAGACATGTTCGTGATAACCTGTGTATAAGTCTGTCAGAGAAAGGCCTGCAGAGAGGTAGCCTTGTGGATCTGCAGACTGTGATCGGTAGTCTTTTATCATAACGTATGTGTGAATGAAGAGTCGTCTTGAAATGCCAGCAGGGGGGCCAATGAAGGTCCACATGATGTGAGCTTCTCCCTGGATGTGTACGGAGATTCTGTGTCTGTGCCTGTGTGCATCCAAATTCATGTTCATATCTGCATCCATCTATCTATCTGTTTGCAGAGGGAGAGATGATAGATAGAAAGATAGATGCATAGATAATCAGATGGAGGGAGGGAGGAAGGGAAGGATGGAAGAAGGGAATGGATAGCTACATACATATGTACGTACATAGACATAGAAATAGACAGCTACTATCCCCCAGGCTTCTAGGTGAGGAATCTGAGGCTCCCATGCGAAGGAGCTTCCCAGAAGTAGATAATCCATGACAGGTGGAGTTAGGATGCACAGCCTAGTCTGCGAAGGCACAGAGGCCTCTCTTTCAGCTCAACATGACATTATTCACATGACTAACTTCATCATCTCTTGGGACTCAACTCACCTGGTCCAGGAAGTTTCTGCTTGCCCTGCTTCCTGCCCAGGTCAATGTCCCTGCTCACAGTGATGACCCAGTAAATTGCAAATCACGTGACTTTGGCAGCCCCAGGCAGTATCTCAAGTTTGATGCCTTCATGTGGCTCCTTTCCTACGATGTTGCGAGGTACTTCAGTGACACGTACTGTGTTCTTTTTAACTTAATCATTCTAGTCTCAGTTTTGTACCTTCATTCATATCAAAAGCATTCATGTTTCTTATAAATGTGATACATGGGCATAGTTAAAAAAAAAAAAAAAGCTGAAGCAAAGGAAAATGAGAAGTTTCCCCACTCCCACCCCTTCTCCTTCTCCAGTTTCTACTGTGAACACATTCCCTGCACCTTCCAGGGAACGGGTGGGTTCATCTCAGCATCCCTAGAGTCTCGTGTTGGGCCGGGTGCCTAGCTGACAAAAGCCTCCTCAGATGACTGCATGGATGCGGCCTGTCCCTTAAATTAAAAACAGAAATGGAGTCAATATTCAGAATGGCAGCAATCAGTTTAAAAATACGATTCCATTGTAAGTTCTGGACAAGTAAGGGAGAGAAATGAGAAGAAGAGCACATAAAAGGGACAGAGAGGTGGATATAAAAACACTTAGAGGAAGGATAGGTTAGGAGTTCACCTGCCAAATGTCAGCAGCATCTCCCCGCCCTGCCCCCCACTGCAAGGCAGTGTTATTACGTTATGATGAGGATACTAGTCAGTGCAGTTAGTCACAGCGAAGAAGCAAGCCCATAAATATGAGAGAAAAAGTGAAATTTTAAAAAATTATTCTTGTATAATCTCTATTATTATGATTGCAAATAATGTGTTGTTACCAGAAAAACGCAAGAGAATCAAAAGTGATTAGAAGCAATGCAAGAAGCTGATAAGACTTTTCCTTATTTCAGTAATATTCAGTTAGAAAACTGTAGTAGAAGAAGTGATTCTATTGGAGATATTTCTAAATGTATGATTTTTCTGAATAAATTACTAAGAAAAATTGGAGACATTTGGAAAAATGAAAATTTTTTCCTGGGAGACATAAAAAGTCCAAATAAGTAGGAAATGGGGACATATTTGGGTACAAGTATTAAATATTATACCGGTGTCAATCCCTACCAAATTCATTTATAATGTTAACACATGGTTACCATCCCCATGGACCTTTTTACCCCACGGTAATTGTGCAGTCCGCTAGGCTACCATAATACCTCAAACTGGGTGACTTAAATGACAGAAATTTATCTTCTCACCATTCTGGAGGCTACAGGTGTGAGATCAGGTACCAGTACAGCCGGGGTCTGGTGCTTTTCCCCACATCATCGTGTGGCCTTCTCATGCATGCTGGGAGAGACCAGGTGCCTGGCATCTCTTCTTAGAGGGGCACTGGTTCCATCAGACAGGGAATCAGCCTTCTTGATGTCAGCCCATTACCCCCAAAGGCTCCATCTCCAAATACCATCACATTGGGGGTTAGGGAATCACCATACGAATTAAGGGGAGGGCTCACAAGCACTCAGTCCATAATAGTAATTTGATTAAATAACTATGTACTTTACTTGGAAAAAATAAACAAGAAATAGTACCTAATAAAATCTGCTTTGTCAGTTATGTGTTTAGACTCAATAGACAGATAAATGGAATATTACTGTGATTGGCGTATCCCGGGCCAGACAATACTTATTTTTGGCTCAATGAGCCAAACTCTTCATTTCTGTTATAGTACAAAAGTGATCATAAATTATATATAAACACATGAACATGCTTTGTTTCAATAAAACTGTATGTATGCTGAAATTTGAAATTCATATAATTTTTATGTATCACCAAAGATCTTACTGCTTACTTTTGTTTTTTTCCAATCATATAAAAATGGAAAAAAAAAATCATTCTTAGCTCAAGAGCTTCACAAAAACAAACCGTAGACCTGATTTGGCCTGTAGCCCATAGTTTGCCAAGCCCTGGAAGAGAAAAAGGAAGAAAGAAAGAGATTCTAAACACATAAAGAATTAAGATGTTACAAAGGCAGGGTTACCAACCAGTGAATAAAATAAAGGTTATTCAGTAAATAGTGTGAGACATTGGCTAGGCAACAGAGGGAAAGAACTCATGGTGGACCTTCATCCAACAACAACCAAAATAAATTCCAAATGAAGAATTAAGGGAAAACAACAGAAACAAAAACAAAGTCATTAAAATCAAGGAAAATAGAAGTGAGTATCTAATTTTGTAGTGGAAAATCCTTTCTAAGCCTACAGGGACCTTTCCTGGGCCCTAAATTCTGCCTGGCCTTCCTTGGTGATCCCTTTCAGTTGTCCCCCTGAAGCTCGAGCATCTGAGAAAGGTTTCCATCTTACTCCTCCACGGAGCTTCCAGAAGCTTCCATGCTGTGACGTACATCACGGCACTGCCAGGCACTCCAGCACTTGGGATCATTCTCACCTGGAAGAAGCACCCTTGAAGCCTCTCTCCCCCCAAATATGTGAAAACCATCAAATAAACTTTGCACTGACTGAGCAAGGTTAAATGGGCTCTTTCACAACTGATTCCCAAAGTCCCTTTGGTCATGTAACTCTTCCCTCCTTCCCTGCACCTGTGGGCATCAGACACGGTTGGCTCGCAGATTGCGTGCCTGGCAAGGAGAGGCCTGGCTGGAGTACTTAGACTCCATTGACGGAAATCAAAATCAAAGCTGGCAGGACCTGTTGGAAATGAGATAGGAGGGAATGAGTCATTTTGGGGGTCACGGTACTTAAGCAAGAAAAACAAAAAGGTAATGATGTAGGCTCAATTCTCGTGCCTTCACCTCCGCTGCGGCTCATGGTCGTCCCGCCATGGCACTGTCGCGGGGACTGCCCAGGGAGCTGGCCGGGGCTGTGGCCAGGGTCCGGGTGCTGGTGGTGGGCACGGGTGGCATCGGCTGTGAGCTCCTCGTGCTCACCGGCTTCTTCCACATCAACCTGATTGATCTGGATACTATCTACGTCAGCAACCTCAACAGGCAGTTTTTTGTTTCAAAAGAAACATGTTGGAAGATCAAAGGCCCAGGTTGCCAAAGAAAGTGTCCTGCAGTTTTACCCAAAAGCTAATATCTTAGCCTACCATGATAGCATCATGAACCCTGACTATAATGTAGAATTTTTTCAACAATTTATATTGGTTATGAATGCTTTAGATAACAGAGCTGCCCGCAACCATGTTAATAGGATGTGTCTGGCAGCTGATGTTCCTCTTATTGAGAGTGGAACTGCTGGTTATCTTGGGCAAGTAACTACCATCAAAAAGGGTGTAACTGAGTCTTATGAATGTCATCCCAGACCAACCCAGAGCACTTTTCCTGGCTGCACAATTCATAACAACCCCTTCTGAACCTATTCATTGCATCGTTTGAGCAAAGTACTTGTTTAACCAGTTGTTTGGGGAAGAAGATGCTAATCAAGAAGTACCCCCTGACAGCTGACCCTGAAGCTTCCTGGGAACCAATGGAAGCTGAAGCCAGGGCCAGAGCATCTAACGAAGATGGTGACATTAAACGTATTTCCACTAAGAAATGGGCTAAATCAACTGGGTATGTTCTGGTTAAACTTTTTACCAAGCTTTTTAAAGATGATATCTGGTATCTGTTGACAATGGACAAACTGTGGCGGAAAAGGAAACCTCCAGTTCCATTGGACTGGGCTGAAGTACAAAGTCAAGGAGAAGAAACCAATGCATCAAACTGCAGTTAGGTCTGAAAGACCAGCACATTCTAGATGTAAAGAGCTATGCATGTCTTTTTTCAAAGAGCATTGAGACTTTGAGAGTTCATTTAGCAGAAAAAGGGGATAGAGCTGAGCTCATATGGGACAAGGATGACCCATCTGCAACGGATTTTGTCACCTCTGCTGTGAACCTCAGGATGTGTATGTTCATTATGAATATGAAGAGCAGATTTAATATAAAATCAATGGCAGGAACATTATTCCTGCTGCTACTAAGGCAGTGATTACTGGGTTAATAGTATTGGAAGGATTGAAGATTTTATCAGGAAAAATAGACCAGTGTAGAACAATTTTTTTGAATAAACAACCAAACCCAAGAAAGAAGCTTCTTGTGCCTTGTGCACTGGATCGTCCTAACCCTAATTGTTACGTATGTGCCAGTAAGCCAGAGGTGACTGTTCGGCTGAACGTCCACAAAGTGACTGTTCTCACATTACAGGATAAGATAATGAAAGAAAAATTTGCTATGGTAGCACCAAGTGTCCAAATTGAAGATGGGAAAGGAACAATCCTAGCATCTTCAGAAGAGGGAGAGACAGAAGCTAATAATCACAAAAAGCTGTCAGAATTTGGAATTAGAAATGGGAGGCGGCTTCAAGCAGACAACTTCCTTCAGGACTACACTTTATTGGTCAACATCCTTCATAGTGAGGACCTAGAGAAGGATGTTGAATTTGAAGTTGTTGGTGATGCCCCAGAAAAAGTGGGGCCCAAACAAGCCGAAGATGCTGCCGAAAGCATAACCAATGGCAGTGACAACGGAGCTCAGCCTTTCACCTCCACCACACAAGAGCAAGATGATGTGCTCGCAGTTGATTCCGATGAAGAAGGTCCTTCAAATAATGATGACATCAGTGAGGAAGAGAGAAGTCGCAAGAGGAAATTAGATGAGAAAGAGAATATCAGTGCAAAGAGGTCCCACTCAGAACAGACAGAAGAGCTTGATGATGTTTTAGCATTAGATTGAACAGAAATGCCTCTAAACAGAACCCTCTTACTGGGCAGAACCAGGTTATTTGTTATGTTCTTTGTTCCAAAGGGAAAAAATTGACACCAGTGACTTGAAGATGATTCTGCTCCCTTTGAAAGCATTCATTTTGCTAGAACAATTAGAAACATTGTGGTATGCTGTATTGAAAGTAGGAATATAGTTTTAAAGCTCTTTGAACAAAGTGTGTGCATAACCAGTCATGAGATGAAGTAACACAATGCATGTTGCCTTTTTAATGGTTTTTTAAAAATATTGTAGTTTAGTAAAGTTGATACCTGGTTATAAATATTATGCCTTTATTTTTGGTTAGAAGAAGAATTATTTTTAGCCTAGATCTAACCATTTTCATACTCTTAACTGACTGGAATAGATTCAAAGAAGTATCAAGTGCTATGCATTGAAACGTGTTTCTTAAATGTTAACTGGCACTATGTATATTAATGTAAAACAACGTTAATTTCCTCAAGTTTTCAGCTTGTATTGCCTGGTATGTCTGTGTAAGAAGCCAATTTTTGTGTATTGTTACAGTTTCAGGTCATTTATATTTAGGATATAAATGTAATATAGAATGTAGAAATATAAAAATTCTACAAAACATATAAATTTTGATGTTTTGTAGAACTCAAATATGACTATACTAAATGGCATCTTCATACTTGTAAAAAAAAAAGATAATGATGTAAAAAGAGGTATAAGAAAGCTAAATTTGGGACACTTGCAAAAAATGACAGAATAGTAGAGATTATTAATTGATATTGGAAGTCTTTTCATTCTGCCATTTAATTTACTTTTCTCAGATAATGATAGTGGCTCTTCCTGACACAAGTACCAGAGAGTATAAATTCAAGACAGACTGCTGCAAAATAAGGCTGCATTTAAGCTTTGGCTAACTTTTTAAAAAAATTTTTGTTTTTAAAAAGAGTTGTATGTGGGTCGGGGGGGCACCTGGGTGGCGCAGTCAGTTAAGTGTCTGACTCTTGGTATCAGCTCAGGTCATGATCTCAGGCTCCTGGGATTGAGTCCCACGTCAGGCTCTGCGCTGGGTTCTCTCTCCCTCTCCCTATGCCCCTCCCCCCTTAAATAAATAAATAAATCTTTAAAACAAATAGTTGTATAGTTCTATAAGTCATTCTAGAATTCTGTGTTCTCTTTTTCAAAGGCATATTGAAAAGATTGGGAATTTTGTGTTTGTTTGCACTTGGGAAAACGTAAGTTGTTCATTTGAGGCTATATATAGGAAGCAAGATTTTTCTCTCTGATAATAGTTCAATAGCTTACAAAAATATTGCCTGTTTTCCATCATCAGAAAAGATGAAATAACATACAAAATTATTTGACAGGGCCATGATACAGTTCAATTATACTACCAAAAGTGATGAATGTTATGTTGTGGACAAAGTCAGCCCACAGGAACTTGCAATATAAATGTGGTTGTGTTGGGGCGCCTGGGTGGCTCAGTCGGTTAAGTGTCTGCCCTTGGCTCAGGTCGTGATCTCAGGGTCCTGGAATCGAGCCCCACGTCGGGCTCTCTCCTCAACTGGGAGTCTGCTTCTCCCTCTCCCTCTCACTCTGTGCTCGCTCTCTCTCTCTCAAATAAATAAAATCTGAAAAATAAATACATGTGGTTATGTTAATATATATGGAAAAGAAGTTTGGTGTGTTTTTGCTTCTGGGCATTTAAAAAGTTAGTTTTAATTAATTTTCTTAGTTAATCCATCTCAATTATTTATGTATTTTGTACTCATTAAGCTTATTTCTATAATTTCTATTTTGATTTTTTCATATTTTTATACTGGTATCACAAACAGCATTCAAACTGAAAACAAGTGGTTCCTATTTAAATCTGTGGTCCTTTTTTAATTTTCAAGGGAATTCCATTTTATTGTAGTTTCACTGCCATCTTGAAAATTCTAGTAGGAGGTAAATCGTTTTAGCTTTAGAAGATGCTCACAGTGATTGGCCATTTAGATCTCTTCATCTTTGAGGTAGCTTTTAAAATTGTTTCCCTATAGGGTTGTCTTCTTCCTTTTCAATTTGTACAGGTTATATCTATAACAGGAATATTAAGCTTTTATTTTTTTATATGTGCTGTAAGTACATTTACCCAAGCCTATCCCATGTCTTTGTTTACAGTGGCTTTTACTATCCATTTAAAGTTGTAGGTACTTAGATGTAACACTTTTCCTTTGTTGCCTCTGGGTCTCAGTCTTGTTTAGAAGGATTTTCTCTGTTCCCAGTATTTTATAAAAGTTCTCCTAAATATTTGTTAATATGATTTTGTTTTTAATCCAAATATAATTCATCTGGAAACCATTTTTAAATATTATGAGAAAAGACTCTGAAAATGTCTGCCAAATGGAAGTTGATATCTTTTGGATAAATTAAAAATAAGATCCTATAGTAAAAGAAAAAAGAAAAGAAAAGATCTGTTATTAGTAACTGCTAAACTACTGGAAGAATAGGGTCAAAGAGCTGTCTTACAACCTATGTGAAAATAAAGCGAAATTTCTGCCTGGAAGAAAGAAGACAAAATCAGAAGAAAGGGGAAGGAGATTGTGCTCTCAGTGGGCGGGAGTGGAGTTCCGCGGTGGCCACTGACCCCTACTCACCAGGCAGATAGCATGCACTTTCAACCCAGTGTCCGTCTCTTCCTGGAACTGGAAAAAAACATATAATGCTAACATTTTTTAGAATTTAAAACCTTGGGAACTTCCAAAAAAAAAGAAAAAAGAAGAACAAAACTGTAAAATAGTAAAGAAGAACCCGTTCACCTGCAAAACTCTGTGGGGTCCACATGGGGATTGTGCACAGACCAGCAGAGCAGTAAACTGAATAGGGGTCCCCACGATAAATGCAAAACAGAGGAACATTCTGTAGCAGGGAGCCTTGGAAGGCAGTAAATTTGAACAGAAATTCTGGGCTTCATCGGGGACCAGGCATCTTCAAGAAAATCCTACTTTAATTATGTGGAACAGTAAACACACCACCCCACAAGGCACCTCTATAAATAGTAGCAAAACATAGGTTATTTCCGTTGGAAAGGTGAACTTAATGAAAAAGAGAGTTCCTCCTGGTAATTTATGATTTACCATGTTATGTAAGATAGAACGTATAGCTTGAGGGTTTATATTATATACTCACATTTCCTAGTTAGGTATTTTTGGCACCAAGCCTTTTCTATCTGGGAGATGATATAAAGGTTGATTTGCTTCATTCAGGGTAGATTTGGGAGCCAGGAGCAGCACCCAGAACATCAGGGAGAGCTGCGAGAGGGAGTAGCTGCCCGGTGTCCCTTCTGGATGCATCTCTGCACTCATCTGTTACATCCTAGCATTCATTTTAGTCCTGCCTGTTACTCATAAAATCAAAGGCTTGTCGTTCATACACAAGAGTCGATTTTATCAGCAATATCTACTTACTGTTCTTTTCATAACATGTGGGGCAGTGTTAACCAGGTCCAGATAGTACTTGGTTCTGGGTGGGGGGGAAGGTTGGGATCCAATTGTGTGGACCATGGATCTGACATTTGCAGAAGGGGGACCAAGTCCAAGAGGTAGCCATGGCCTGCGAAGCTCAAGGCAGAGAGATGCTGTGGGACAGAAGGGTACAGAGCATCCTGGCTTCCAGAAATCTACGCTGCCTACAGTCAGTGCAGAAATTCCTGAGTTGTATTACTCTGTGGAGACGATGCAAAATTTGCATTAAAAACTCTGAGGTAGGTCAGTGAAATATGTACCTGAGTGTCCAAAACACTCATTGAGAGGTATTAGGTTGACATTTTTTTATATAAAAGCGCCAATATGAGACTTGGTTTTAGCCATAAAATACTGTGACAAATATTCCACGGATAATGCTCTTCCTGTGAGCAGCTTCTCCCAAGACTATTTTGGAATATTACCAAACGTTACTATTCATGTGTGAAAGTTTCCAATACTGAGCACTTTAGTATTCAGACCAAAGAAGTTTCTTATCTCGTGAGCTCAATGAATATTATTTTAATATAAACTAGCTCATGAATGGGGACTGCAACTCAAGAAAGTGAATTTATCTTGCCAGGGGCTTTAGTAAAAACAGTTGTTGGCCTGACCTCATGTGCATGGGGAAGGCATGAGTTAGTGTATGGAATACATCTCTGCTCACCCCTGTGAACATATTCACGTCTCTCTCTTCTTCCGTGGGACCCTATTACTAATGAGGATGGAGTGGATGAGAGACAAAGGATGGGCTGAGTAAACAAAAGAGAAGCTGTTAAAACTCACTCAAAAAGAAGAGAATAGAATTGTTCTTCTTATGGAATACTGACTCAAACAAATATACATCTGTTCCAAGATATCCATTCAGCATTGATTCATTAATTACCCTCAGGCACTTTTTATAGAAACTGCGGAAAGCAGTGAACACAAACGACATTAGCATTCTAGTAGGGGGACGATGAGACAGGAAGCAAACATATGTGTATATATATATATATATATATATATATATATATATATGGCAGAATGTGATAATTGTGTGAAAAAAATACAGCAGAAAAACTCACTACAGTTTGACAGCACTGGGGGAGGGGGAGGGAATCACTGTTATTTGGTTGGAATATGCTGGTCATTTATCGTTGATAACGTCATGAAAGTGAGATCTAAGTATATGGACATCTGGGTTAAGCGAGGTCTAGGTACAAGGAAGCCAGTGTGCAAGAGCTGAGCACACAAGCCATGGCATTGAAGGGGTGGAGGGTTGGCCACACATGGCTGGGGCAGCAACGTTAAGGGCATTGACTTTTGCTGAGCTGATTTGAGAAGCCACCAGAGCACAGTGAGGAAATGAATGACGTGGTCCAACTTTCATTCAGGCAGAGATGGTGGCTACTATGCTGAGCTGGGGTGGCTGGTGGGGGGAGCAGAGCTGTGAGACTGGTTTAGAGGCCACAGCTGAGGTGCGAGGGGCGGTAGCTTGGTCTGGGCACCAGCAGCTGATGT